TGGATCACAACTTATGACGTCATCATATTTCTGCATCAAGTACCATCCTTATTTCCTTAAAATTAGCGAGAAAAAATCCAAAAGTAGGTAAATTGTCAAATCAATGGATGAGAGTATGATTATTTTTTAATTATTTATTGCATTGAAAAGTTGAAACAATTTATTTCAAACCTAGGAAACTAGCCAATTTATTTTTATTAATAGCAAAAGCTAGTTCGGAGTAAATGCACTTTTTCTTAGTCCGCGGCAGAGCAGAATGTTCAAAAAAAAAAAGTAGGTTACTATGCTTATAAAAGTGAACTAGTATTCAATAAATACATACTAATATCTATACCTACCCTTTATCATTACGATCTTATGAGTGATTTTATTTTGTCTTAATCAAAATGATGCATAGGTATTTTGTAAATGTGGAACAAAATATTACCTAATTGTTTAAAGATTATCCATAAAGAAATAGTTACGGTAAGCAGTAGGTAGTATAGTTATATCCCCTAGGGATAATTAACTTCTAACTGCCACATGCCATACCTACTCTAGAAACTACATCACTCTAAATGTATGGCAGGTACTTTTGTACAATAAATGTATTTTATATGAAAAAGGTTTTAAAGCAAGGAAATAAAAGGATAATATATCGTTGCATTCTTATATTTTATTAACGACTTAAATGTAAAATACAATATCTAAACTATAATATTATATCCTAAAGTTACATTACAAACATCAATTTCAAATTCTAAACACAATACTACACTCTATAAAATACCACACCAACTTAAATAAACACAATTCTAGGATAACCCTGGCCACCCCCAGTCGTTGAGAGATTGCTTATAGTTTTCGAAATGTTATCTCTGTGTTCATTGGTTACCAAATGATACACCCTTACATGTGATTTTACATAAACAACAAATTGATTCCCGACTTCGAACACCACTTGATGTTGTTGCCTCATCGTATCGTTGTCTTTTCGCTTCCATTATTTTTGTAATTCTTTTTCGTTTTGCACCAGCCCGCCCAAACCGCATCGGCCCAGTAAGCGAAGATGGTGGTGATGAGATTGGTGAATTAACCAATTTGCAGACTTCGTATCTATTGTACTTCATGTCAACAAATAGGTTGTTTGTAAATTTTCTTTTTGTTGCACCAGTCCTCGTCTTTGTATAATTTGACGACGTCGACGGTTGTACACTATTAACAGTTCCACTATCAACATCAACAGTAGCACAAACTTCGTACACAACAAGTTCCATGTTGCTTTTCTCGATCTTTTCCTCCTTTTCATAAGGTTGAGATTCCGTTATCTTTATTGTGTTGAAATCCCTGGCTATGGACTTTACTTCGTTGTCTTCGAACACGTCGTCGTCTCCAATTTCACAGTCAGCGAAGAAATCGTTGCCACAATCACGATCCATTTTGAGATGAAGTAGGTTAGAGGTTTCACTGGTGAATGATGTTCCCAAAATTTGCCCGTCGATATTTATATTTGTTTTAATCACCTTACTCGTTAAATATACCACTAAATTCTTGTACTTTACTTTTAATTAGCTAATTGTACGGGTCAATTTATATTACAAAATAATTATTGTTTAATGTCCTCATTAACTTTGTTGGAGTCCTTAGCACATTGTATACAGTACTCCTTATCCGTTTGTCTCCAATAGGTACCAAAGCTTGGTATATTGCAACTTTCATCAAAGCTTAGTGTTAATGTCCGTTCAGTCTAAGGCACAAAAATTAAGTTTGGTGTCACCACTACAGCAATACCAGCTGTTGTCGTAAGTTAAGTTTCACGTGGTATATTATTGTTAGGAAATCAAGATCATTAGTCGTCGTAACGAGGTGGTTAGCTCGTCGTAATTAGCGTCCTGATCCTGATTCATAGTTCTGGCTAAGAACGGTAACTAGATATTTTAAGTTGTCGTTGATCCAGCTTAGACCGTCCTAGCCACAGCGTAAAATAGATAAGCAGACCCAACATTACCTAAAATTTTTGGAACCAAAACACACATGCGCAAATTGTAGCTTAAACGGGGCCGGAGTAAGGTCCGCATTAGAAATGAAGGACATTATTATATACCCATTAAGAGATTAGCGTGTTTTTGGGATAAATAGTCAATATTTATAGTAAGTACCTACTGAATAAATATCCATTTTTACTATATTTTTTTTTTTATTTATTTACACATAACATACAAATATCCTTACAGGTTAGACCCAATGCGATATTGCAGCAAAGAGATTATGTAACTAGGTATGTGTTACCGGAAATGTATGAGAATCCTATGAAATGTATATAATTCCGAAACTAGGTATTTAGGAACTGTAAAAATATAGTTTTAAATATTATTTAATACCCACGTAGGTATGTTTTAAATAATTTTAATATCACTCGATGTTGATGCTTCATCGTAGGTATCGTTTTCTTTTCGTATCCATAATTTTTGCAATTCTTTTCCTTTTTGCACCAGCCCGCCCAAACCTCATGGGCCCAGTAAACGAAGGCATGTCAACAAATAGGTTATTTGTTGATTTTCTTTTAGTTGCACCAGTCCTCGTTTTATTATCATTTGATGACGTCGACGGTTGTACACTTTCAACAGTAGCACAATGCAGCTCAGCGTCATATTTTGCGTCAAAGTATATTTGATTTTTTACTGTGTCGCAAAGTTCCATATTAGTTTCAACCTTTTCCTCCTTTTCATAAGGTTGAGATTCTGTTATCCTTATAGTGTTTAAATCCCTGGCTATGGTATTTATTTCGTTGTCTTCGAACACGTCGTCGTCTCCAATTTCACAGTCAGCGAAGAAATCGTTGCCACAATCACGATCCATCTTGAGATGAAGTATTTTAGAGGTTTCTACAAAGAGGTCCTAGATCTTGCCTAAGCGTGTCGTGACCGTCTGTGTGGTTGGATCCTTACTGCGGTATTTTACTAACAAGACTACTCTAAGGTGCATTGGGGCCAGTGGGTACCTGCTCAGTGACTCAGAGCCCCCTTTTGTACGGGGCCCATTGTACATGGTATTTTTAAATACTACGTTGTTAATCCGACACTGGCAACAAAGTAATCTTTTGTCTGCCAATATAATAACAATAATAACAGTTTACACAAAATTACTGGTTTTGTCTTCATTTTGTTTAATTCGAGACGGAGTAGGTGAGACCGTGGCATTTTCTTAGTATGGAGGTTGTACACACGGCCACAGATCAATCTATACAAAACCAGTTTATCCTGGTGTCGCGTCGCATCATCTTTCCGCACATTTAACGTTCAGTTTATACTGGTTATGTGAAGTTCGATGTGTAGCCGTGTGTACTTGTCATAAGTTTTCATTCGGAATAAATGCAATTTGCCTTTTTCCGCCGCAGAGCACGGGACATTGCGTGTGCAGTTTAATTTGTCAATTTATCTTCTTTGCCATTAATCACTTTGTTGAATGTGATATGAATCTTTGTAGAGCAGTATGGTTAACAACTAAATATAATATACTATAATAATATAATATAAATATAATATAACTAAATACCTATGTTTATGAAAGTCATCTAGTCGTCTAGTAGTTTATTATTAAACTAGCGATTCGCCCCGGCTTCACACGGGTGCAATATGCACGTATTATAGTACACACAAAACTTCCTTAAGAATCACTCTATCTATTTAAAAAAACCGCATCAAAATCCGTTGCGTAGTTTTAAAGATCTAAGCATAGGGACAGATAGACGGCAGATCGCTATCTGCCGTCTATCTTATATACTTTGTTTATAACCTAGCCATTATCATGTCGCGGAGAACCTAACGGGTAACCGGGGCTCCGGCTCGACGAGCAGGAGAAGGAACGGGGTGGTTTTTAGTCAGTAAGAGTCTGACACTCCCTTCCGCCTCACCCAGGCGGGAGCAGTCATTCGATGATTTTCCCCCCTTAAAAAAAAATGTGTAATTAAGTCTAAGTAGTATATGTAATATAATTATGTAAGTTTATTGTTATGTCATATACATGTCATATACATATACAGGAACGGGGTGGTTTTTAATCAGTAAGAGTCTGACACTCCCTTCCGCCTCACCCAGGCGGGAGCAGTTATTCGATGATTTTCCCCCCTTAAAAAAGCCATTATCATTATAATCTCAAGACTGGTTTAATTTTGTCTTAATTAAATGATGCTTCGATATTTTTATGCAATTGTGGAACAAAAAAATCTAATTATCTAAAAGAAATTGTTACGGAAAAGGTAATTTTGGCGAGTCACCCTTTGATGACGCGTTGCTACATAGGTCACAAATGCAACGGGCCCAGGAGCCCTGGGTTCGACACTAGCCACTGGCATATTGATTTTAGAATAAGAATGGCATGGCATGACATCTGTAATTGCAAAGACCGAAAAAAGTATTATCTTTGCCTGCGGCAATAATACTTTACGTAGAAGACATGCCTCAGTTAGATAGAGCATAAGGTAATATAGTCATATCCTTTTTTTTTTAAGGGGGGAAAATCACGCATCTTCTCCTGCACGTCGAGCCGGAGCCCCTGTTACCCGTTAGGTTCTCCGCGACTAGTCATATCCCTAGGGATATAATTATATACCGTAACATATTTATATGAAAGCGATTCGTTACTGTCTCACTAGGATTTAGTTTAGTGACATAGCTTTCAGAGTGTGCGGCGGCTCGTCGCTACTAAATTATGTGCTACATGCATATAATTCAATTTTACGTAATCTTAGATCATGATTCTGTGTTAACCGATCTTGTGTTAACCAAAACTAAAAATAATAAAGGTAATAATTCTGTGTTAACTGATCTTGTGTTAACCAAAACTAAAAAATACGTTTAAAGAAACCAAAATCTCAATTTAGTTGATGAAATATAAAGATATCTCAAAATTGTATATACCTTTTCAAGATAGGACTATTCCATGATCCATGAACAATGTTGTTATAAAATCACCCAGCGTAGAACCCACTTAATGATAATTTATACAATCTCTTGTTACAGAGGTACTGAAGAATACCTTGGCATAATGGGTGCAGCAGACATCATCTGCTCGACCCTGGGCAAGGCAGTGAGTGGAGCTGCTGGTGGCTACACGACAGGGCCTAAGGAGCTCATCACTTTACTGAGAAACGTGTCTAGACCTTACCTATTCTCTAATGCACCGCCACCACCTGTCGTCTGTGCGTCGATTAAGGTAATTTTTTTCTACTATGTAATCATTTATTCAGTTCTTTCCAATATGTAGACTTAACGGAAAACTACTTCACTTAATGTAACTTTCATAACATAGTTCGCAGGTTATTTTTTTTACTGCTTTGTGTTGTTACAATATTATGTTGTTATTTTGCAATTTCATGTCATGCCTCTACTTATTTGATTTCAGTTAGAGTCAAGTAGCTCTTGCTAGGTTTTTTTAACGATAAGTTTCATACCAATCTGCATATGTATGTACTTTTGGATTTGGTGAATTCTTTTTTCTATCATTACGAGTTGGTTAGATAGAAACATAGGAATGATACTTTTAATTTGTACAATTGAACAAAATAGTATCTATCTTCTTTTCCATTTAAGAATTAAATCATCTCTAACAAAACACATGTCTTTATTCCAGTCTTTAGATCTAGTAGAACATAGCGGCGAGCTCCGCCAACGTCTCAGGGAGAACACGCGCGCCTTCCGCGAAGGTTTGAAGTCAGCTGGTCTGACAGTGGCTGGAGACGACCACCCCATCTGTCCCGTCATGGTGGGCGAGGCACCACTCGCCGTCGAACTCGCTTCTAATATGCTTAGTAAGTGATAATTATTCTGATTGAGCAGGTTATTCAAAACGGGGCTAGGGAACAGTCGGATCACCTGTTGGTGAGCAATGTAAGAAGAGAATGAAGAAAGAGTTGCCAGCCTTTTACGAAGAGTGCGATACTAGGCGTCCGGCAGCGTAGTACAACGTGAGCGTTGTTTCACTCCGGAGGTTAGGCCGGTGGAGTCGGGCCATTCTTCCCGAAGCGCATGACTCTTGTTTTTTGCTTTCAAGCTATGTTCTGGCTTGCATTTCGATATTCTTTTTATTAAATTTTTTCTACGTATCTTTCCAGAGCGCGGTATCTACGTGGTAGCGTTCAGTTACCCGGTGGTCCCGAAGGGCGCGGCGCGCGTGCGCGTGCAGCTGAGCGCTGCGCACACGCAGGAGGACGTGGCGCGCGCCGTGCAAGCATTCGCTGACGTCGCTAAGGAGATAGGCATCGTTAAAGCGTAGTACTATTGGTACGGTACATCGATCTCTAGGCTTGACGTAGAATTAATTTCTGATTTTTATTATTGACTACAATAAATAACCGGTATTTCTTCTACCCCTTTCTGGAGATTTCAAAGATGAAATGATAATCTAGAAGCAGTATAGCATATTATTTTGTTAAAACCATAATTTGAACAAACTTAATGTCTAGTTATTTGGCCAGTGACCTTGAGATCGATCCTTAGCTTGCTTATATCTCAGCATAGACGTCCTTATGTAATATTTGTAAATATCAAGATTGCTTATGTTTGTGTATGTATGAAACTAGGACTGAATCAATAAATGTTTTACTGTTATTGCATTTTATTTGGTTTTTAATATCTTTATTTCCTGTTACCTTGTCCTTTGATTTTCCTCTTATTTTTTCTCGTGGCTAAATAAAGTATATGCAAAATCGACTGAATAGTGCATTTCCATGGCGAAGGCTGTATGAATGTTACATAACGACTGATAACATAACATCACGCCATTTATCCCCGAAGGAGTAGGCAGAAGTGCACATTATGGCACTGAACAATATAACACCCACTATTCACTCTTTATGTTACGAGTCCCATGTTGGCATGTTATAGGTTTTGCCAAATGGCAATAGGCACACAAATGTGCCCGGTAAATACCGGGCACATTTCAATGCTCTATGCTACTACTGAGTTTTCTTAAAAAAACTCGGTAATACTTTGCCCGACCCGGGAATCGAACCCGAGACAAGGGGCCGCTGGGCCCCTTGTCTCGGTAGTAGCACTAGCGACCACTCAGCCAATGAGGCAGTCGCGTATGAATGTTATCTTTTTTATTTACACGATATTTTATCTACTGCACTGGTACAAAGATACGTGTGTAATTTCGACCAGTGATCCTCAAGTTGAATCAGGGGTATGCAACAGTAAGCAAGTGTAACTAAACCACATCAATCATTCTTAACACCAACAATCACACGTCTGATTGTAAAATAAAACAAAGCTGTATAATAATAACTGATCTATTAACAATAATTTATTACAGTAATAAAACACACACTCGTACAACATAACACACAGTGCCGCGTGTGTTCACTACGCTCATTAAACTAATTACAATTAAATATTTACATTAAATCGTACTCAATTCTCACTCGACGATATTGCATTGGTGCACCTCACCTCACTTCGTTGACATACAAGATACAAGACGTTCACAAATAAAACAAACAGGTCACCATCAACATAACACCAACTCCATATTAATACAAAGTCAAATAAACACATAAATATAAGTACAAACACTAAATAGTATTATATTAATAATAAAAAATATATCTTTAATGAAAAACGTATGTACAGTCGAAGGGAAAATATTAAAATACTGACTGAAATGTATGGCCGAGTCAAAATCACGTCCGTCCTGTTCGAAAGTCTGTCGTCAACTGCGACAATTCTATCAATCTTACAAATATTTTGGAGGGTATCCGTTCCGCGTCTCGGTAACGTCTACGTGTATATGTCGTGTGGACGTATTGAGATCAAGACTGAGCGTTTCTCTCGTCATCCGACATCGGTTCACGAGTTGGGAGGAACGAAGGATTTCAGTAATCCTCATTGTAGCACTGACGGTTTCCCTGGAATTAAATGTTATCATTAGTGTATGGAAGTAAGGCAATGGTTTCCGTTCATATGACGAAATTTTCTGCAATAGTACCTACTGACTGATATTACGTAAATTAAAACGAAACCAAATATACAAACAATCGATGTTTTCAGTCAGGGCCTACACTCCTAGAGTAATGTCAAAGCAATAGTTTTTTCTATGTGAAAATGGCTTGATAAACAATTTGAAAGTGAAATAGTTTTATTCATATTCAATACTAGCTGTACCACATCACACTAATATTATAAATGTGGAACTTTCTTTGTTTGGATGTTTGTCCGTCAATCACGCTGAATTTTGATGAAATTTGGTATAAGTACAGGCAGGGTATGGGCTGACTTGGGTGATAGGATCTTTTTATTCCGATTAAATGCTCCCATGGAGTAAAACAGAAATCATATTTTACGTGTACGAAGTCGCGGGCAACAGCTAGGTTATAATATTACTGTAATTTACAAAGACTAAAACACAAAATAAGTATATAGCGAAACAGAAATAAGAATAGTAGATGTAACACGCTCAGTATCATACTGGCGAGTCAAGAAACAGTTGGGCATGTCATGGTATTAAATAAGTAAGTAGTCTATGTAGGTAGTATTATTAGTAAGTGGTACATACCAGGCGGTAGTGTCGTTGTGGTGGTAGTGGTAGAGTTAGTAGGCGGCACCGCGCTTGCTGCCGTCGCGGCCGTCGCCGCCGTCGGCGCCGCTGTGCTTACAGGCTTCTGGAACATAGAAAACAATATTTACAGTCAAATTGATATAAATATTTGTATAGATAGTACCTTGACTTTGCAGGTATTGGATATTTTGGGATGTTGCAAATATTTTATGTTGGAAAGCATATCAGTTACGCATACATGTATATTATAGATAATCGTTCGATCGTTGTTCTAGATTTTTTATTATCAAATAAGCCAAAAGGATATTTGATGCAAGATTACAGAAAATAACAAAGATACTAACACAAAAAGCATGCATCTGCATCTTCATTAGGTAATTTGTGTACGCACTTAACAATCATAATTATAAAGAAATCCTTTCAAGGATTTATTTTACTTACAACATCTATAAAAAAAAACATTGACAAAAATTAGAACGCTGATAACTATTAGCACTGATTTCAATCAAATTACGTCAGAGTTAATTACTGTTCACATTAGTGTTGAAATTGTAAGATTAATGAGTTTGATTGACGCACGGCTTTACATGGTATACAGCTGTTCTAGATCAACTTCTGATTTACGATCGCAGTTGAACTCATCGCTATCGGACAAACAGTGATTAAAGTCACAAGACATAAATCGCCAGTGGCGCCATCTAGGAAGCGCGAAAAAGATTGTGTACGTGACGATTGATATTAATTGCAGAGTAATTTATATAATTGATTGATTAAACTGTCAAACACCAAGCGGTCACCGGTGACCGCGACCTATTGTTCTTTAATTGTGTCTATAAAACCGGTACTCGACGAGTTAAATGTGACACATTAGAGATAATAGATTTCAAATCCTTACAATACAATAAGGCTAAACAAGACTGTGTCTTTGGATGAACATAATAATAAAGTCATAAAAGTAAATTAAAGTTCAACATGGTTTAAGGCTTAAACCATTTGCTTAAACTTTAAGCAAATAAGGTCATAACCATTAAATGTATATTAATTCCGCAACGTAAGCAGCAGTAATAAAATTGCACTTCAAAAACACCAGACAATTATCGAATGACCTCTGATAGAAAATATCGTCAACACGTTTTCATTATTATATTCCAGTCACTTTTCACCTTTATTCAATGCAAATCGAGTTCCATTAAAATTCAAGGTGGCAAGATGTTCCGGATAAACTTGCATCCTTGCATTGATAACACATGTAAATGTCTAGACGACAACAGAACTGATACCTTAAAAAAACTGTTAAAATGACCTGACACTGCATGAAAGGCCTATACAAAGCAAGGTCAACTTATACTGGTTACTTAATATGGAAACAATTGAACTGAAATGACCTTTATTCCATTGGCTTAAGACCAATTTTCGTAAACATAGGTCATACTTACAGTGATTTCCTGTATCCTAGTCTGCAAGGCTTCAACTTTGCTTGTGAGGGTACTGTTAAGGTTCCCGAGGTCCGTTCGGATCTCTTCGTCACGCTTCGTGTTCGCTGTGACGTTGGCTATAGTCTCATTCGCCTTCGCATCTAGTTGGTGAAGAAGATTTCTTACTTCTTCTACCCCTGTTACTGCTGCTAAAGCTTGTTTGTGGGTCGAACTTATTGTACTGTCGAAACCGTTGATCTGGAAAGAGAAAAAATGATATTTAATGGCGGTTTAAAAGCAAGGAACGCTCAAGACAAACGTGGCTACTGGGACTTCAGGTCACTGCCAAACTGTACGTTATTTATCTCTGTTTCTTGTATGCAAAAGAAAATATGTGCAACAGGGACAATTATATTTACATATCTTCTGGCTCTACCTCTAGATTCCTCATCACCCCGCTATACAGTAATGCGTTATTTGTTTGTCAAAATACTCGAACGCTACACAATTTTAACTCACGTTTCTGTATACTTCTGTCGCTACAAACTCTTTGAAAAATGATAGAGGTGGCACGATATTCAAGTACAGCTTAAAATTTAGTAGTCATTCAGTATTCGGGCGCAAAATCTTCAATTCGGTTCGTACATTCGGCAGTAAGGAAGTATGTACTGGAATATAACGGCTAATAGCAAAATGTGATTGTAGTGTACTTCTCATACTAGGAGCAGATTGCTTCCTGTTATTGTAGCCGCGAGCGCTAATTTGAGTTTTATAGGTCTAGGGGCTACGCAAGACATTGTCAAAACATCTAAGGTCTTTTTTCGAATATGTTTCGTTACACAGCAGAGATCTTCAAAAAACTATTTTCACTAACATTAAAAGCAAAACACCAACAAACTATTTTATAGTACTTTAATCCTACATCTGATTATAAATTCAATAAACAATACAATACACCTAACAATCTAGAACTCTAGAACATACTAGTAATGTGATAACTGATAAGGATGATCCGTCATAAGACAGTTTAATACTCAATACGATCGTTATTGTATACGAGGTGCAGATTAGATTATATACTGACCCAGATACTAATAACAACACAATACGTGGTTCTGAACATAGAAACATTTTGATAGTCATGTGTCTGAATGATATTGACAAATTACAATAGGGATGATGACAGGGTATGAAATTAAAAATGTAATTAGTCCATCAGTTAGGTAATGAAAAAATATTAGACACGTATTTTTTATTTTGTCGTATAAGAAAACAATACATAGATAAAACGCATCAAAGTTTAGGAGTAGGAGTGAAAGGTAGCTATGAGAAAAATCGTATTGAAACGTGACGTCATGCGATATTTCAATTCAATATATCTTTGACAAGTAGGAGTGAAAGGTAGCTATGAGAAAAATCGTATTGAAACGTGACGTCATGCGATATTTCAATTCAATATATCTTTGACACTATTCGTTTCCGTAAGAAAATAATAAATACGTGTCTAATGTATTTAAATAATATACCAGATGGACATTAAAATAAAAATTAGTCATTTACTCTATTACGCCATTGATCAATTCTGTTATTTTCTACAGAAAATTAAAATGCATATTTACAGGTAGCCTTTTACCATATTTTAATTACTAACGCCCGAATATTGAAAGGCTATTCAATTTTAAGTGGCTACGCGCGACTTATGGTAGAACTTAGATCTTTTTATATGGGATAAGCTAGTAAACGAGCAGACGGATCACTTGCTGGTAAGGAATCCCGGTCGAAATTACCCATTCGTGCCGAAGCATGGCCCTCCCATACTTAAATCTACGCGAGACACAATGTATTTTCTACTGTATCTCACATACCGGCACTCAAGACGTTAAATAATGTTAAACACGAATGTTAAACAAGTACCTAACTAAGCTGTAGAGGCACAAGTTTATTACGAGACGATAATTACGTTGAGCTGGTCAGGTCAGTGACCGATATCACGTATTGATTTCTGCATAAATATACTTATGATTAGCGTTGAGACTGGTATAAGGAATAAAAGGATATTGCTAGTTCTATAAAAGCTAGTTATAGTAGAAAATGTTTGAGAATAGACGCTCTATCATGTGGAAACTAATAATGGGGTTTATGATAAAACTCCATTCTACTTCTGAATACAAAAAAATCCTTGCCAGAGTCTGTTCCTGTCCAGAAGGGTACAACCTGAGTATTTTCAAGTCTAAGTGAATAGTATGCATATGTGTAGGAGTGGTATATCATTGCTTACTGCCAGGCGACTTGGAGGCTAAACGCTGACCAAATAAGAATAAAAATACATGAACAGTACCTGTGAACCAAATGTCGCGACTGTTCTCTGTAGTTCGGCCAGTCTTCTCGGTGTGTCAGCTAACTTGGGTGCTGCTGACAGCTGTTCTGACACGGCAGCGAGCTCCTGCGCCGCCTGAGCTACCCTCTGCGTCAGTTCTTTGTGTTCCTGGTCCAGTGCTGCGAATTTCGCACTTAGTGCACTGGCATTCGCTCGTAATTCCTTTGCAGTCGTGTGGCATACTTGTAACGCGTCGTCTACGCTGTTGCTGCTTCTTGATACTGTGGAAGAGAAAAGTCATTTGTTAGTTTGTTAAGTCTAGAGTTGGATTGCTGTGATATTCATTGGAAATGTAGTAGACCAAAATCATTCAAGAGTAGGATTGTTCTAATTGTATTTGGTACACTAATATTATGTTTAACTTTATTGATCAAAGGAAAATATTTAGCACACATTGATCTACATCCTATCAACAAACTTCCACTAATGTATGATACCACAACAGTGAAAACTTTGTAAACAAAGCACGACTACCTAAGTCAGTTTTAACATATTTTTTATCTGTGATGTGATACGTACTATGTTACTAGGGGACAAGAACAATTCTGTGTCAGCTGTTTACAGTTTCGCACGCAAACATGCGGACAAAGATTGAAGGAAACGGCCATTAATGATCTACGCATGTGAGATTTACATTTGCATTATGGTATGAAATTGTCAGGGGGCAACGCACTGTAATGTCATAGTTGTTTGAATATTTAAGGATAAAATTAATGTAATAATCTATGATATTCGTTATAATCAGTTCTACCTATTAATCTTACTACGGGTCAAACCAAGATTGTGGTGTCACCTTTAGCAAACTGTAAAGGCGCGATTGCTGTTGCTTTATGTAAAAACCTAGCCTTCCCTAACCCAGTTGGCAAAGAACAAAAAAAAATGAAAAAACAAATATAGTAATGGAAGTGTTTTGGAGTTTAATGAGACTTTTTATCAGCAGTTAGATCAAGAATTACCTATGAAATGTAATCATTATAACGATGTCAATAAAGACGAAAATAAAATGTACCTCGGAACGATTCTCTGAAACAATAGCAACGACAGTGAACCAAGAAATTGTAAGTATTCATTAGTGAATACTGAATGGTGAACTTTCAAGGAACACCGCCGATTTTCACAATAACTAGGTACCTGTGAAAATAACCGTGTGAAGACGAACAGAGACATACCAAACATCCTTAAAGTTCCGGATAATATATTACAGAAACCACAGCGCAGATTACTTAGGTCATTAACGTGGAACAATTTTCGAGATAATTCGACGAAATTAACGCAATTCGTGGAAACCCCGCTAAGAATCTTTATCAAGCAATACTGTAACAAAGACAAGCATAAATTCTTTGCGTTCTACAAACCCTTTGCGGTACTCCTAGCTAAATATCCTTACTAATATTATAAATCGGAAAGTGAGTTTGTTTGTTTGTTCCGCTTTCACGCCGTAACTACTAAACCGATTGCTTTGAATTTTTGCAGACGTAAAGTTAGAAGTTCGGATTAAATAATAGGGTACTTTTTATCCCGGAAAAATTTGATATTCCCGAGGGAAAACAAAAGTATTGGTATAGATGGCGCTGTATGTATATGTCACATAGGCTACTTTTTATCCTTTTGTGACGCGAGCGAAGCCGCGGGTAAAAGCTAGTATGCAATAATTTCTTAAGATATCAGCATATTATGTACTTAATGTATCTCATATGTCTGCTGTTAACTTGTGACTCAGTCATGTGCGTATAAAATCTAAATAGGTATATGTAGACTTAAGGTCTTTATGATTGTTTAATCATAAAGACCTTACTTTCTAACAGCCATGTTATTATATTATTATACCTTTGTTATTATTAGACTGTAATAATAATAAAATACTGAGTTAATGTAAGCACCGCACGATATTACAGGTGTTAAATTAGTTTATATTGTGAACCATAATAAACTATTTTACCACCTGACGTCAAAAGTGAAAACTGTACAAATTTTAAAACGCTAAAATAAAAATAAACTTTGAGTCAAAAACACTTTATTAAAGTCAGATACGATGTTGATCAAGCAAGATCTTTTGATACTACGTTAGTCGAAAATTATTATCTTTCCCTTAATATTTCAACTTGATATACAATTTCTAATCTAGCCTTAAGGTTAAACTAGTCGCGGGCTCGAACTCAATCAAGGGCGTGGCCAAAAAGCGCGCTGTCTCATCTAACATCGTGTGTGACAGAAATAGTACCAGTGATGAGCAGTTAGACGCTATCTATTTGCACGACGTATTGTTCGCACGCACACAAACACAGCAAAACGTCACTGAACGGTGCATATATCTGTGCTGTGTGTGTTCGTAGTAAAGTCGTACGCGTTGCTACGATTTTATGATGCTCGCATGAATTTTAGTAATTGTAATTACTGAATTTTTTATTTTTTTATGATAAGTTGATAACACAATATCCGAAGAATCTACGAAACGCTAGGGATATAATTCTGTAGGTAAACAGTTACTTTTTTTTCTAAGTACCAATAACTTTATGTACCTACTAAACCTAATAGGTACCTACAATATTTGTTGTATTTGTTTAGTTTTCGTAAAAGTAGGTAATTACCTAAAAGTATGTTTACTTGCTAAAAATAAAGTAAGAAACGTAATAAAAAGTATAGTTGACAACCCCAATCGAGTTCTCACGGAGCACGATAGCCACAAAATATAAAGGTAGGTACCTAGTTAGTTCTATGGTATAACTACATACAAAGCGCGCTCGAGCACGTAGGTACCTATAAACAGTGAAGCAGGTACATACCTAAATGAGATTGACTTCTGTACCTATGTATTTTGTGCGAAAACATTCGGCTTGGCGGTTGCCCGTTGATATTATCAATATTCCTATTTGCGGTAATCTACAACAATTTATTATAAAGAGCCTAAATAGGTAAAGTTTGATTTATAAATAAGCATGATCATTTCTTCTGTCTGGGTGTTTTTATCTAATTATAATAATATGGAAATATTTAGAAATATACCTCTAAGTACCTATGTATATCTGTTGTCTAGTAGGTACCTACACATAACACAAGCTCTGCTTAGTTTGGGACTGGACAGGGTAGGTACAAAGTTGTGTGATATTGTGGAATATTATTATTACTTAGGTATTATTTAGGAAGAATGGCTAAAAAAGCATAGGTATCGTAGGTACGTAAACGTAGTGTACCTGCTAGTAAAATATCAATTCGGTCTAGCCGAATTGAACATTGACCTGAACAAATAGAAAGACAGACAGACGGAAAAATAAATAGGAAAAATACAAAAATAAATAAATTAAAAATTAAAAAACTGCGTTTAAAAAAACCGACTTCAAAAACAAATGACAAACAAAAAGTAAAAACTAAAAAGGAAAAAAAAAACTATTAGTGGTCATACGTACTTATAGCTTACACACCCACTGATAGGTTAGAAGTCGGTGCCACAAGTTTTAAACCTTATATTATTATATATTCATTAAAACCTTAATAGATACCTAACATTATTGAGCTGTTTACAATTTTATTATGGATTATACCAGCTGTGACTTTTGTCTACTTTATATTTTATTGTGGGTTTGTGGCACCGACTTCTAACCTATCAGTGGGTGTGTAAGCTATAAGTACGTATGACCACTAATAGTTTTTTTTTCCTTTTTAGTTTTTACTTTTTGTTTGTCATTTGTTTTTGAAGTCGGTTTTTTTAAACGCAGTTTTTTAATTTTATTTTATACTTTTTAGTTTAGTACTTTGATATATTATATTATACAAAACCCACATGGATGCAAAGTTTTCATCAATACACATTATGCAAGTTCAAACACCGGGTGGGTACTCTTAACCATTGAAGAGTCCCTTAGCTATCATACTACTTCGTCATTGGACCTTTAATGACCATCACCCATCTAGGTGTAAAGTCCTCATCAATACAAATTAATCCCAAATCAAACCCAAACACAAAGTAGCTACTGTTAACCGTTGAGGAGTTTCCTCAACTATCGTACTACTTCATCATCAGACCCTTATTGACAATTACACCCCACTCAGGTGTAAGGTACTCATCAATACAAATTAATCAAACCCAAACACAAAGTAGCTACTGTTAACCGTTGAGGAGTTCCCTCAACTATCGTACTACTTCATCATCAGACCCTTATTGACAATTACACCCCACTAAGGTGTAAAGTCCTCATCAATACAAATTAATCAAACCCAAACACAAGGTAGCTAGTGTTAACCTTTGAGGAGTTCCCTCAACTATCGTACTACTTCATCATCAGACCCTTTTTGTCAATTACCCCTACTCAGGTGTAAAGTCCTCATTAATACAAATTAATCAAACCCAAACACAAGGTAGCTACTGTTAACCGTTGAGGAGTTCCCTCAACTATCGTACTACTTCATCATCAGACCCTTATTGACAATTACACCCTACTCAGATGTAAAGTCCTCATCAATACAAATTAATCAAACCCAAACACAAGGTAGCTACTGTTAACCGTTGAGGAGTTCCTCAACTGGCTCTCGGCTCCATCATCAGATCGGCTCCAGACCTTTATCAGATTGTAGTGGTTTTTAATACCTAATGAAAAAATTAACAAATGCCCTAGTCACCCCTATAATTTTTAAAAGTTTCCCTCGGTTTCCCTGGTCTTCCATCATCAGATCCTGATTTCCTTATCATGGGACCATTCTGGAACTATCTCCTTTCTAACAAAAAAAGAATTTTCAAAATCGGTTTATAAACAACGGAGATATCGGCGAACAAACATAAAAAAAAAAAAAAAAAGCATATATACGGTCGAATTGAGAACCTCCTCCTTTTTTTGAAGTCGGTTAAAAATGGGTTTAAAAACTATTTATTTGTTTTTTCTGTCTATCTGTCTTTCTGTTTGTTTTACGTAGGTACCTATGTCCAAAGGAATAAGTAGTTTTTTTTTACCTACTTATCGTGCAAATAGCCGTGTGAGTATGAAAAAATCTATGTAGGAAGGTATTTTAATATTTGGTACAAACTGACACTGCAATTTATTTACATTGTTTAGTATAGGTATATCGATTTTACGATAAATAATATAAGTATCGTACACCTCGCACTATAATACCTACGGACAGTTTACTTACAAGCTTTTATATAGGTAGTTTCGGGAGGTACCTGTGTCTGATGGGGCGGGAGGAAACGCCCGGGTGTCATCACTGCGAGGACCGCCCTGAGGACACG